TTGGGAAATATTTGGTTCGTCACGTGTACTACAAAGTTACGTAAGTTTCGGGTTATTTTCGGGTAAAATCACGCAAAGCAGTTAGTCTCCTTCGCAGCCGTCTTTAGTTTTGGTCTCAGGGCCCGTGARTATCTAGGCCCGAAACTAAGGGACTGGTCATAAAGTATTGGGGGGGGGGGCAAAATCAGAATACTATCAATGTTATTTTATCTTGGCCCATCATAAAATGATGCTGAAAATGTGATGACCCAACCCCAGCTTAAAAGCAAAATTGCAGATGACCCACCTCTGAAAAAGGGATCCACTGGTCAGATTTACCTATATTTAATATATCCCAAAAGAATTTTCTTGGTTGCACACGTCTACCACTTCTTGTAACCGTTGACTGTTTCGGCTTCTTCTTTCTCTGTCATCGTTTTCATTCGAAGGTACTGCAGATGTTCTACATACTTGCTAACCAGATCCTCTGCAACTGCAATTTCCTTGAGAAATTCTGATGATGACAATCATAATACTACTCTATTTTGGAATGGCCCACCGTTTTTGGTTGTCAAATTTTATCAACAGCCCACCCCTTTGAACTAGGAGTTCAAAATGTGACCAACCCCCTGATTTTGCACCCTTTCACCCAATCTTTACTACAATACAATACAAATTAATTTTTCTTATTTCGTTTTCAAGTATCAGCATGAATAGCGAATGTATGCTGATATAGCTTTTTGTAAAAACGCTGATTTTGAATTGATTAAGAACAGAAAACGACTGTCAGCGCTCATGCATATTGTTGATGCTGGTGTCGTTTCTATGAGAGTCGTATAGGGGACACCAAACTATAAAGTATTTTTCGTTTTCTACTCTTGACTTACATACTGGGCAAATCCTTTCATCGTAAATGAGATAAGGCCCTCTTAAACCTCCCCGTTYCTACTTCAAGCTTATGGTTRCTAATTCTTAATTTTGTAAGCGCCACTCTGTGYTTAATATTGGTGACTYGACYTAAATATTCTTCAAAGTTATAATCCGTTTTGAACTGACGAAAGACTCTGAGTTTATTTTTACGTCTGTCGTCTTTCCTTTCATCATTGTGGAGGTTACTACATAAAATTTGCCTCTCAATGTCATATATTCTTTGGGTTATTTTTCCA